TATTTGACAAAGTAACTTTTATCTCAGTAAAAAATAAAGAAAAATCAGGTAACCTTCCATGAAACCTCTTACTGCTGAGATAGTACAGTAGATGCCCAGAAAAGATTATAGAGCTTGGAAAAGAGCAGGCAGCTGTTTGCACTGAGATGAAATAGTGTACTGAGGAGCAGAATAAATCACGACACACTCACACCTCTCTGAAACTGTAGTATCTAACTTAAGCTGTTTCCTTCCCCTGTGAGCAACAGAGAAATACTAATCTCCACTTTTCTTACTCTGTGCTAGCTTCTCTAACCAGCACAAAACTAGAGCAATGGTCATATAGAAGATGCCAGGGAAGTGATTGTCCCCATGTAGTTGGCACTGCCGAGGCCATGAATGAAATACTGTGTTCAGTTCAAAGAAAGACATTGAAATGCTAGACAGTGTGCAAAGAATGGCAAAGAAGCTGCTGAAAGGTAGCTGCTGAAAGGAACGGCTGAGTGAACTGGGGTTGTTTAGTCTGGACAAGAGAAGGCTTGGGGAGACCTTATAGCTCTCTACCACTACCGGGAAGAAAGTTGTGGGGAGGTGGATGCTCATCTCTTACTCCAAGTAACAAGTGATAGAACAAGAGGAAATTACCTCAAATTGTGCCACAGGAGGATTAGACTGGGTATTAGGGAAAATGTTTTCACCTAAAGGGCTGTCAAGCATTGGAACAGGCTGCCCAGGTGTCCTGGGTTTAGCAGCAGCAGTCATTTTTTCTCCTTCTTGGTAGCTGGTGCAGTGCTGTGTTTTGACTTTCGGGCTGGGAACAAAGCTGATAAAAATGATGTTTTGGTTTGGCCAAGGACTTTGTGAGTCTCATGCTCTGCCAGGGAGGAGGGGAGGCCGGGAGGAAGCAGAGACAGGACACCTGACCCAAACTGACCAAAGAGGTATTCCATACCACAGCACGTCATGCCGAGGGGGGAACTGGGGGGGAACCCGGAAGGAGAGGGGGTCGGCCGGGTCGGACTGGCGGTTCGGCGCGTGGTATTGTACTCCTTTCCTTTGCTGTTTTCTCTTATCATTGTTGTCGTTGGTGGTAGCAGTGGTGATTCGTATTGTACATTAGTTGCTAGACTGTTCTTATCTCAGCCCGTGGGAGTTGCATTCCTTCGATTCTCCTCCCCACCCCTCTGGGAGCGGGGAAAGGGGGCGGCAGCCCCTGGGGAAGGGGGGGGGCGGACTAACGCCTGGCACCACTCACTGGGAGTAAGTGAACAAGCTGTTTGGTTGGGTTAAACCACGACAGTTCTTTTTTGGGGCCCACCAGGTTCAAAATGAGCCGGAAGGGCTAAGGTGGGGATGAGCATGACCCACACCATGCCATGCTCCCAAGGCCCAGACACAGCCTGGCTGGGGGCAGGATGGTGAGACAGGGGTGCTGCAAGAGAGACCCTCGACCACAGGGGCTGCTGCCCAAGGAGCTCCACACTCAGACAGCAGGGCCATGCATGGTGGGAGCACCAGCAGGGCTGGCGCAGCAGGGTTTGGGGTGTGCCAACATGGTGAACACCATTACAATCAGCAGGCAGGTCCCAAGGGTACCCAAAGGCCATCCAAAACCTTCAGAACTCTCAAACGATGCTGCTGTACTTGTCACTGGGGCTGGTGCAGCTGCTGTGCTTGCCGGCTCTCCCACCACCATTTTGTCTGATCTCAAAATTTAAGCAGAGTCGGGTTTGGGTCTTGTCTGGGGTTAGACAACAATATGGGAGGACCAAGAGGTTTTCCCCAAGGCTGGAGACACAGCCTGGCTCACATGGCGCTTACCTTGGCGGGTTGGTGGCAGTGTGATATAATCAATCTGCCAGGCCTCCCCATATTTATACTTCAGCCATCGTCCTCCATACCAAAGAGGTTTTAACCGTTTGGCTTGTTTAATGGCAGCACATGTTTCACACTCATGAATAACCTGGGCAATAGTGTCCATTGTTAAGTCCACCCCTCGATCACGGGCCCATCTATATGTTGCATCTCTGCCCGGCTAGCTCAGTCGGTAGAGCATGAGACTCTTAATCTCAGGGTCGTGGGTTCGAGCCCCACGTTGGGCACCAAAAAAGAACTGTCGTGGTTTAACCCAACCAAACAGCTTGTTCACTTACTCCCAGTGAGTGGTGCCAGGCGTTAGTCCGCCCCCCCCCTTCCCCAGGGGCTGCCGCCCCCTTTCCCCGCTCCCAGAGGGGTGGGGAGGAGAATCGAAGGAATGCAACTCCCACGGGCTGAGATAAGAACAGTCTAGCAACTAGTGTACAATGCGAATCACCACTGCTACCACCAACGACAACAATGATAAGAGAAAACAGCAAAGGAAAGGAGTACAATACCACGCGCCGAACCACCAGTCCGACCCGGCCGACCCCCTCTCCTTCCGGGTCCCTCCCAGTTCCCCCCTCGGCATGACGTGCTGTGGTATGGAATGCCTCTTTGGTCAGTTTGGGTCAGGTGTCCTGGCTCTGCTTCCTCCCGGCCTCCCCTCCTCCCTGGCAGAGCATGAGACTCACAAAGTCCTTGGCCAAACCAAAACATCATTTTTATCAGCTTTGTTCCCAGCCCGAAAGTCAAAACACAGCACTGCACCAGCTACCAAGAAGGAGAAAAAATGACTGCTGCTGCTAAACCCAGGACACCAGGGAAGTGGTTGAGTCACCATCCCTGAAGGTATTTAAAAGATGTGTAGACGTGGCACTTAAGGACACGGTTTACTGGTAGACATGGTAGTGTTAGGTTTATGGCTGGACTCACTAATCTTGAACGTCTTTTCCACCCTTAATGATTCTGTCATTCTGACTACATTAGCCTACACTACCTTAACTATGCTTCTGCTTATCAAACGGAGCATTGGCAAGAGTGTCTGAGCTGTGGCTAGGTAATTCTGGCTTGTGGGAAAAGGAGGTGATTACAATCATACTGCAAAAATACAAGTATTACTTCCTGGACTGGACCAAGTTCCAGACTCTGCTGTTTCATAATATTTGCAAAGCTGCCTTATGAGACTTTCTGGGCAACTATTGCTGGAGTTCATTAAGAGTTACAGTTAGCAACTCCCCTTTCTTGCTTTGAACGTATTTGTGGCCTCAAGGCAACATTTCTGCATTTTTCCACCTTTTCCCCAGTGTATCTAACTAACTAGCTTTAGATTTTATTTGGGTATTAACTGAGTTGCTACTTCACAGCCTAACACCACTTATGGCATGTCAGTTGCATCATCACCAGTGATTCACTAGTTAAGGTAAAGATTAATGAAGGTGACTATTTTTAATAGATATTCTCTTGATTATTACAAGCTAGTCTGGACAGATCCTAGTTTTCTTATCAAGACTTTTATTTAGGGTGAAAATCAAAACAGATCAAGAAGTCTGAAGAGATTAAGTATGCTGGGTATAAACTCTTGCTCAAAGAGTGTAACTGTTGAGTTATAGCAAGCATTTTGTCTAATGTGGGTGTATTCAACACAGACACCACTAGCAATTGATGGACAGTGTGGAGACACCCAAACTTGCTTTGGGAATAGTACACATTAATTTTCAGCATGGTGGCTTTGATATTCATAATGTCTGGCTGCAGAAGTTTACCTTGGTGACAACTAAAGAGAGAATATTCTGTGCAGACTCAACTCTCTAGCTCAGGAGCACAAAGGTTGCTAATCTTTTAATTTTCAAAACCAGACCTTTAGACACTACAAGTCTGCACACTGGAGTTGACAAAAGCCACTCCTAAATGTGGCCAGACAGCAAGTAGGAAAATTAAAATTCTGTCTCATTTTTTCATTAAAAAAAGGGCACCATTACTGAAGTTCATTTCCATTTGCATTTTCAATTATATAAAAACTACCTCCCCTATAGAAATGTCTTCATAAACACTCTAAAAACTGGGGGAAAAAAAATAAATGTAGGTGTCACCAACAGCCAAAATCTCTCTCCATTTTCACATGAAGGTGTGGAACACCTCCCTAGGATAAATCAGTCTGAAGCCTTGTAGTTCTGAGTTGTACTGAACCACAAGTCTTGTTCTTCCTTTTTTGCCTCCTTAGTGTTGTCAAATGAGTGGGTAGGAGAGCTGGCTCTTTGCTAATCTGTGCTGCAAGAAGCGAATAAGGTTTACATCCCCCCTTAATTTCTGATTCCTTTCTGATAGTCACATCTTTGCCACTAATGCAGTTCAGTACCCAGCTACTGTTTTACATATCAGGAAAGTCCCTTACACTTACAGTAGCACCAGCTACTGTTGCAAGAAGAATTCTGCTTTACTTCCATGCCTTCACTAACACAGTGGTCACATAAAAGCTAGTATTTCTGTACCTATAATACTGTGATACACCTGTTTTGAATTACTGTTAGTTAGCTATTACCGATATCACTGCTCACTAACACTGCTATGCTGTTCAAACATGTTGAAGCGCATTCTTTTGATATTCATTTCTTCTTGGAAACTCAGCTGTGACAGACCACTAAAGAGTCTGGGAATTGCTCAGCTGCATGCTACTGAACACTATGGTCTCCTTGAAACAGAAAAGAACAAATCTAAGAAGAAAAAATAAAAATGACATAGCTGAGAGTTCATGGTGAAAAAGTACACAGCGCAAAACAATACTGCCTCAGGTTCTCAGATGACTCAAATTAACGGTAGAAAGCACCAAGCACAAACGTTTACCAAAACTGTTAATCTACTGGGAAAAACCCCACAGAACAGGAAAGTCAGTGAAAGCTGTAGAATTTTGTTTTTTCCTTTTTTTGACATTTTAGAAAAATTTTCAAAGGACAACAAAATTAGACTAGTAAATACATTATAGAACTTCCTGTAGGTTTTTTACCCTGTAATGGATAGTAAGATTAAATCATCAGCTTAACACATAGTCTTTAATATTTAAAAAAATGGTTTTAGTTTCTATGTCTGAGAAAAAATACCACAAATTAATCACAATTATTTTTGGAAATGGGTGAAGAAATTAAAAAAATATTGTTATTTCTTACCTATAAATAGTGTGGGGAACGTACACTTCTCTAATTGGGAATTCCAAAATCTCTTTGTGAGGACGATTACGGTTTTCTAGAAAAGGCTTCACTGGTAGTAATTCTGGTGTCAGACAATAGCCAAGGTTTTCTGGAGCTGGGGAAATCTCCAGTTTAAGTGTTCCTTTAAAAAAAAATCCCATAAAATCTCAGCAAAGTTATAAAAAATAATCAATGTATAATAAAAGAAAAATTGAAACAATATGTGAGATTACATAGTAGCAGTGCAAAAACAAGAACTGGCTCTTCCACTTGAAGGTGGCGTGAGAATGAAAGTGCAGAAATATACACAGCAAGTAGCCCACACACAGCCCTACGATTAGGTCAATATGTAGCTCTTTATGTCTACCCTGTACTATTTCAAAGAAATAGCAAAGAAATAATACTATAGGCTGGGTTGATGTTCTAGTATCTTTCACACAATGTAATACAAAATTTTTTTGGGAGACAACTAAAAGATAGAAGGGCTGATGTCTAATACAGTTCTCTCTCACTACACCTACTCAGATTCTGCTTTGATTAATCTCTGCCAAAGTAGACAGCTTCCACCAGGAAAGCCAGGCTTGCTGTGGTGAGCAGTTAACTGTTAATACCGATAACATTTACACAAGTAAAAGTAGACTTCCAATTTACATTTCCTGTTGTGATTTCTGGCAATCAGCTAAAAAGGCAAACCAGCTTAGCACTCAGTTCATATTTTTTAAGGATTCTCTACAACAGCTGAAGGAGAGTTTCAGCTGTACATTATATAAAAAGAAAAAATAAGGTGGTCAGGTTTTTGACAGTAGCCAAACACTCTCTCTGCTTCTCTACTTTGTTAACTAACACTGACCCAAATACCCAAGTAAGATGAAATGTCTACACATTTTCATCTCCCTCTGTAAAATATGACCCATTTAAAAATATTGTAGGGAAATAGCAAGGATCTTTGAAATTTGCTTTAAGCACTGTCTTCAAACAGTTGGAATAATAATAAAACACATCCAGTAGATACACTGTAAATTAGAGAGGAAAGCAAATAACTTTAGAATGTCGAAGTAAATATCCATGCTCAGTCATACAGAAAAAAACTTCAAAAGCGTCTGTGCTCAGGTAGACCTTGGTAACCCAGGAAATTCCACACTAGCACATAGTACACACTTAAACCCCAAGTTAATTGTATTTTGGGGTTGTAATTTACAAGACAATTTAGGGGAGAAAAGTACATATATCTTTTTCCATCCAAAAATAATTGCATACCTGGTAAAGTCTTAATTCTTCTCTGTAAGGAAGAAGATCTTTTGAAATCAGCTAAAAATTTGAACAGGTCTTCATCACTGAGCCTGTCTCCTTCCTACCAGGAGAAAGAGAAAAATCAGTACCTTTATAACACTACTCCATGACACTGAGAAAGCTTCAGACATAAGAGTATCCATTACCTGCTTGAAGAAGGTGCTGAGGGTCAGAGAGACTGTTTTGAAGTTTGAAACTGGAGAACTGTCCTCCAAGCTGAGACTTCTCTCAGAAAATCTCCTTCCCTGTAGCAGCGTTGCCCTCTTGTCACTAGTGGATCCTTTCCCTTCAAGCAGAAATTGAATGAAATACTAACTTGCTTCGTGTTTCTTCGGTACAAAGACCATCAGAGTATGCTAGAAGCCTACAATTTCCTAACAACATCAAAAGATACAGAGAATACCTAAACCATTCCACTACTTTTATTTCAAACTGTGTGAAATAGTGGAACAGCAGGACACACATAGTGAAGTGACATTATTTCTGCTGCAGAGCACAAGTTTATTCAGAGTTTTAGTTCATGGGTTATAAAGCACGTTGGTCAGTGTTGTTGACCAAAGGTCCTGTGTGCTCTAGAAACTACTATGTTATGTGTTTTGGTTGCCCCATATTGCAAACAAATGTTATAAGAAAAAGAGAATGTTACTTCTACAAAGCCACTGCTCAACATGGCCTAAAACATGCAAGACTATTTAGCATACATAAAAATAAACAAGCAGAGATGAAACAGAGAGCATATGAATTTATAAGTGTTTGTAGAACAGAAAAGAAAGGCTGAGAAAATGTGACTTCGAATCCGCTGTTCACTTTTGGTGCCAGAGTGAATGACATTATTTGGTATGCACAGGCCTACTGAAGAGGGGCTTTGCCCTACACAGAAAAGTTAAACAAGTACCATTTAAACCTTCAGTTTCAGGTATTTCTCGTTCAAGTGTTGAAAGGTTGAAGACATTAGTCAGGCTTATGGGAATCCAGGCAAATGGCATTCTGTATTTCCCCAGCCGCTGACAAAAGGATTCAGCTTGGGCTTTCAGTTTTTCAATCTTTTCTTTTGTCTAAGACAAGGAAAATAATGACTGTTTAAAAAGCAATCAGTTATTTTAATGTGATTGTAGATAAAAAAAGGAAACAACATGTCTCTAGTTCAGTAAATAATTTGCAGTCTTATCTGTTTTCTTTCTCTACCACTCCAGGATCACAGCAGTTTTGATTTGTACATTCACTTTTCCTTTCAATGACTTCATTTTGATTACAGAAAAGGAGAATGCAGATCTTTTTACAGTGACCCCCAGGCACAGCTTGAAAAATCACCATAAAACTTTAGCAGGTTCTGCTTCCTTTGTAGATACAGAAACAATATTCTGTTGAAAGCAATATTCTAAAGGTAGCAGATGTGTGGAAGTCCAGCAAACATGTCCGTCTACTCCAGGCAGGTAAATGACCATAAATTTGTTGAAGAGAGCTCATGTTATCTATGGATCACAGCACTGAACTGGCCAGGTACACACTATAGCAAGTCGTTTGCCCATCCAAATCAATAACATGCCTCTCAGGTACAAATATTTCTGCTAACTCCACACTGCATTGTCACCTTACCTGCTTTGTGACTCAAGCCTCTGTTAGTATTGATTTCCAAAGGATCAGTAAAGAAAGTGCACCATATCTTCTCATAGCTTCCTTCCATCAGTCACAGACACCAGACTGCTTGCACCATGGATGCACCAGTTATCTTTCTTCCACTGTTCTAATGATTCTGTCCTATTCCAAAAGGTCTGTTCTTTCTCTGCTTCTGTTTGTTCGTTTTTGCTGTGCACACATTTTTTGATCTAAAGTCTTTGTAATTATTTACTTACCTTGCCAGCCTCGCTTTCTTTAAGAACTGCATAGGGTTCTGCACAGTCTCCAATTTCTCCTTGCTGAAGCACTTTTTCTATCTACAAAGAGCAGTAAAGTAAGACACAAAGAAAAAAATATCACCCAATCAGTAATATGTTGCTTTCTTAGCAATATGGTAGAGCCTGCATAAATGAGCAGTATAGAATCTTTAATAACAGCTTGTGGAGTAACTGGTACTAAACCAGTTACTCCATACTAAAATTCCTAGTTTTCTTTTTGGCCTGTTAGAAAGCAGGAAATACATATGTGACCACACTGTCGATCAGGTATGCATTTTCACGGAGATCATGAAAATTAATACATTCCAAATGAAGTGATTCAGGCTAACACAGTTTCAGAATTAAATAAACAAAATGATGCAAAGCTCACTAAAAGAAAGCCACAGAAACTCCAGAGAACACAATTAAAATAAAAAAAAAAATGGATTATTTGACTTTATTTTAAATTTCCCTTAGGCAGAGATAGGAAATTCTAAATATGTAGCAGAACTAGAACACAGGATATCAAAATCTTAGCTTGGGAGTGAGAGACACCGGAGGACTTCTGCACACATGCCATTAAAACCAATCAAAGTTCACCTCAGCTACAGGAAATTCATGCTCATCACTTCAAGAACTCAGACAACAGGCACAGCCAGGAACAGAAAGCATGGTGTTGAAGTAGCACTGTAACATACCTTTATTACTAGGTATATATCCGATGAGGGATAAGTGACAGAAAATACTGCTGATCTTGCCTGACTAGACAAGTCAATGGAGGGTGTATAAGAACGCAAAAATCCTCTCAATGAATCAGGGTTAAGGTCACAATGAAAATTTTCTGAGATCTTGAGAAGGAAAAGAATTAAAATGTATTACAATCCAAAAATGCATCAAGTCTTATTTTAAGGTAAGTCAAAAGCACTAACTAGAACTACAAAGTAAATAATTGCAAGCAGTGACTTTGTCAGAATAAAAAGAATCCAATATCACACTCAGACTGAGTATGTGAAAAGTTGCATGTTTTTGTAAGTTTTCCTAAATTATTACTCCAGAGATACAAACCCCAGCCAACTGAACAAAAATACTGTATGCACACTTACCTTTTTTCTTTCTTTTACATCATAGAGAGCCATGCAGGCAAATAAAGGTTCAATCTCTATCTCAAACCTATTAAGGAAAGACAGACAGAAAACTGATTGATACTGTACTCTTATGACTCTGTATTAGAAAAAATAATAATAAAAGGGCTATATTTCAACTGGCACTTCCATTAGAAAATAAGGAGAAATATTTAGTTCCAGACCTCACCTCTCTCAAAGTCTGGAGGATTTTTTTATTAGTGCAATTTATTAGGTGATTTCTAGAGGAAAAGAAGGGAAATAAACTGCAAGCAACGTATTTTCTAAATTTGTCAGAAAGCTGGTCTCAAATATCAATTACAACAACTATACATTTCTTAATTCTTTTTTTCAAAGTTCAGTACAGAGTGTATGGAGACCAATCTAGTCTGTTGTAAAGGTATAATCTGTGCTCATTCCCAACTCCCTTCCATCCTGACAAGTTAGACTTTTGCAATGATGGACAGAAATGGTCCTCTGCTACATTAACAAAGAACAAGCAAGCATGTAAACACTTGCTGAACAGGACTGCAGTGGTGTAGCAGGGTCGGCAGCAGTATTCTGATATGAACTGAGAAATGGTGAGCAAAGCCTGTGAAGGATACTTACTTCAGAGTCTGCAGCTTCACCAAAATCCTGTTTCCCAGATGTTCCTTTGGGCGACCTGGCACGGGCCGTATCTCCACTGCATCTTCCTGTGATTAAAAGAGTTACTCTAGTCATACTCAATTCAAACAACTGCAAATCCACATATTTACATATAACCTTCATGGGATGCTGAATGAGCTGCTGCTACAGACTAGCACCTTCACTCACCCAGCAGGCATTTAAGCTCTTTAGATATGAAAGAAAACTGCTTTGTATTTCTGAGTACTTACACTTCTGACTCCCATCTGGCATTTACACTGAATATTTACACTTCTGGCCCCCAAGCAAGCATTGGGGGTAACACCCTGACACAACTGTATCACCGGCCTCAGGCAACACAAAGTACGACCAGGTGAATGCCTGTTCATGCTGGCAGGAGCCCATGGGGATGTGCTTTCACCACGTTATTACCCAAAGGAGACACAAACCCCATTTTGTGACTACAGTGCAGCTTTAACTTCAAGCATGCCAGGACAGCCAGCCTCCAAGCTCACCTCATCCACAGCGGGGTAGAGGGCGAGGAGCTCGGCGTGCCTGTTGGTGCGCCGGGCCTCCTCGTTCTGCCTCTCAAACTCCTCGGCACTGACGTGCTGCAGCAGGTTCTCCAGGCGGGGGTCTGGCTGCAGGCTGCGCAGGTCAAAGTCAGACGTGGCGAGGGTGGTCCTCGAGGTCTCCTCAGGGAGTGCCTGGGCCTGTCGGGGCCCTGCCTGTTGGAAAATAACACCACAGTGAGCTATGGCTTGGAGACCAGGCTGTCACCAAACACCTGCTTGTTTGGCAGAGAGAGCCCTAGTGCCACCTCTGCGGTGAGGCGTAATGGCCAGCACAGCTCTCTGCTGGTGTTATTGCAGAGACTATAGTATGCTTTGAGAGAAGCAGCTGTATCTAACTATTTCTCCCAAAGTTAAGGAAATGTACCTGAAGGTTTGCATCACTGGAATCCAATGTTTCTGATTCAAATGTTTGTTTTTGAAGCGTCTTGTGCAAATCTTTCCGGGATCCCTTGTTTTTCAGGCTACAAGTATCCGAATTCCCTTGGCTCCTTTCACAGAGAAGCCCGAGCAAGTCAGGACAGCACGAGGAGGTGTTAAGGGGAAAAAAAGCACAACCAAAAAGACATTACTTTTTTTAACTTTAAACAAAGCAACTGGGAACATGGTTGTGCAAAAGATCAGTGTAGCACAGCTTTTACACAAAAATGTGTCATTTCACGATACTTGTTTTACCACACCACTGCAGCTCTGTCACATATATTACTAATGGTTTTAAAAGGAAGAAATAGCATTCACATCACTTTTGCATAGACTGCGAGCCTGAGAGAGCAACAAAACCTGTTCTAGGCACAAATCCAGCTCTGTGCTCCTCAGCAAAGATGGCAACTACTTCAGTGAACTTAAGAACATGGATTGGATTGCTTATCTCTTGTCTGGCTCTTTGCTCCTCTGACTACACATGAAGGCACTTACTGATTTTGTCCTGGACCTAGCTGGCATCCCAAGTTAATCAGATAAAACAATCCACATCTTTCAAACAGTGCCTGCTTCTGAAGAGGCACAGTGTGACACTCTCTGCTGGCATGTAACCAAAATTTTGCAGCAAGGTGTTACTTTAAAGTTAACATTTTTGTGGCAGATGGAAAAAATGGGGAGGTACCCTGACAAAATACACCAGGTGCACCCAGAGCTCTATTTCTTCCACTTCCGTATGCAATTTGTTAAATCCTGTGATGGTATTTTTCCAGTCAGCCTCCTTGGTTAGAGTGTTCTGTTTTGTTCATTTCCCTTTCTGCAACACTCCTAACACTCTAAACATCTGAGTACTTTCATAAAGATGCCATGATAAGCGATTATTGATCAGGCAGACACCTTTTTATTACATTTTGGGAGTAACTGAATTATATGCTCTGATGTGTTTTAGTTTTAATTGTTCACATTTTAATCACTTACCAGTTCACTGCAAATGAAAACTAAAGTCATAAAAGAGACAATCCCAGCTCTCCTTGGATGTGACCTTGTTTTGGAACTGCTTTAATCATTCAGAATGAATGACAGAAATTCTGAATGAGTTTACTTTAAGACATTGCAGCATCCAAAAGAGATTTTGTTGATTAATTTTTCTCTACTTCAAGTGGGAAAGAAATTACTTAATGGGGAGATTTATGTACCTGAGATCCCCCTTTCACTGTGAGGTACAATGACACTAGAGATGCCCTTCCCCTGAAGTAGTCTTGTAAGATTTACTTACATTGTTTATTCATTTGCAAAGCACAGTTGCGATTAAAAACACCAACAGGCAAAACCTGCTTTTAGTACTCATGTCAGTTTTATGGCGACACACTGAATTAAGAAAATGGGACAAGGAAAAGGCACAAAGGACAACTGAAAGAAGAAACTGACAGGCACAGGAACAGGCTTCCCATTCAGCCTCTGGCAAAAACACAGGGACTGCTCAGCTGTGTCCAGCCCCTCTGCCATACACCCCTTCACCCCGGGGCATTAGGAGCATCTCTGCTCACCTCTGCACCCACTGAGGACTCTTCAATCTCTTGTTCTGAGCCTTCACATCCCTGAATGAATGAAAGTCACACACTCATCCATGGCTTAGCAGACCCTACGTTCAGCAACCTGTCCTATCAATCTTTGTCTCCCAAGTAGGCAACTACAATTTTTCCAGCCTTTCTCAAAACAATGGAAATCTTTCTACAGTTTTCTACAACTACTGTTTCTCACTTTTCTCTTGACGTCTTCCCTTTCTCTCACATCTGTTTCAAGAACAATGCCCAAGCATAACACGAGGCTCCCAGTAGCAATCTATCACAGGTTTATGTGACACTGCAGCACCTTTTGCACTGTCTTGTTCTTTGCAATTTTTAATAACTTGCTTGCTTTGTTAGTCACAGTCATCAAAGCCCAGCTGGCCAGCACGGCCCTTCATCATGTTTATTGCAGATTCAATTGCTCGGTAAAGTTTCTGAATGCAAATTTTCCTTACCTGAATGAACAAAATAGTAAAACACATGACAAACCTTTTCACATGTGTATTTCTACAGTTCCACTCACATTTCTACAAGCACACGCAAGTTTTGCAAGTTCAAAAATAGCTATGTTCTATTTTTCACTTCACCTACTTTACTGTTTGCTCCCTACTTGTGTGCACAGAACTGCATACTGGCTCTTTGCAGCGCACTCAAAACAACACTGTTGAAGAGCTAGTGTCTGTGCTCTGAGCAGTGCAGGTGGAGAGCCTGCAAAACCCGCTAGCTTATTTCTAGTTACTCACTGTACAGCAGTTCTGAGAACTCAATCAATTTCATCAGCACCCCCAGAGGAAGTCTCTTGATAACCCTCAGCAGCTGCTCCTTCCCTGCACGGGCTGCACAATTAAACAATGCAATTTCTTTACAATCACCAGAGCCAACCTGCAATGCACTGACTGCTGAAGTTCGTCGGGTCAGGTAAACAGAGAGTAGCAAGGGCAGGCAAAGGGGTAAAAAGACAGCAAATGCAGCAGCACTCTGTCAATGGCTCCTACTACTACTTCTCAAGAGCAGGGCATCAGTGCAGGAGGGGGTGAACAGGAAGCAGTGCAGAAAAACAGAGCTCCACTATCTCTGTATGAAGAACAGGAGGGGGCGATGGGGAAGGAGGTGAGCTCCACTGGCACGATGCCTTCCTGAGAGTCTGGGGACAGACACTATTGTGCAGAAAGCAGTGACTGAGGCTTCCCTTCACATTTGATAAGTGAAATGAAATGGAATGCAATTAAATTAGAAGATTAAATTAAATTAAAATAAATTGTCACTTGTAATGATATAGGTTGAAATCTATGTTGGATTACACTGACTAAAAATACAGTAGTCATTTACTGCTGTAGAATTGTGAAGTCAGATGTTACACTAATAATACCATGAATACAGTCAATCACTCCTGGGAAAGCCCACAGTCCTTGGTTTTTTGCACTCCATTTTGTACTCCATTTTGTTTTCAGACACCATTAGAGCCCAGATCATGTCTAATTTTCAGGGCATGGTGGGGAAAACAAAGAACATACAAATGTAATCTTTATCCCTGTTATCCTTTTTTTAGTATGATCAAATACCATTTCTGATTTAGGTAAATCATCATTACAGACAGTTGATTTGAGTTTCTGACCGATTAATTCCCAGAGTGCCTGATAATAAAGAAATAGATGCAACAATATTTAGCTATAGCCCACTGGCTCGAACAAAACAATATACACATATATACTACTGAAAAGTCAGCTCTTCTCTTTGGTCACTGATTCAAACCATTATTCTTTAGCATAACTTGTAACAGCATGTATCTCCTTCCTGAAAAATAAGATCCAAGGCATTTTAGGTTTTATTTACTTGTACGTATCTTACTTTCGATTCACAATCAGCCACTCCCTGGTATACGTCTGAACGCAGTCTCTGACATGTAAGTCCAATTCAACCCTGGGGAAAAAGCAACATTTTGCAAATATTTTAGTACCTAGGCCATACCGTAAGGACAATGAAATTTATCTAACTGTGCTATTCAGATACAGGCCTCCCAGTCCTCTCTTGTATATTTATTTTACTGCTAAACTATTGTTTGAAGTTTAAAGAGTTCTGTGTATTTCATTCATTCCCTGATGCAGGCTTATGTTATTGTGCTTATAAATACCATGCATCTACGACTGATGTTGCTAAAAAAATATAGCAAAATAAAAGAAATTATACCAGGTACCCATCTTTGTGATTTTCAGAACTTGATAACATATAGTACCAACATACAGAGATCCTTTTCCAGAGGCCTCAGCTCCTGAACTCTTCAAATATATAGTGTCCTGGGTTTTCTTGGTGTAATTTTCTTTTTCTCACAGAAAGTAACAAAATTCTAAAAAAGGATCCTAAGCTTTTAATCAGCATAATAAAACTTTAACATCTAAAAACATGTTATAATTTAATTTTATGATTTTCAAATAAGTCTCATTTAATGTAGGGGGTTATCAGTGCTGCCTAATGGACTTGATACTGACTGAAACCAAAGTATTTTAAGCTACAGTTGGGGTCCATGAATCTGCTTCCATGATGTAGCATGATTCCCCTACCCCTATTCTAAAAAAACTTAAGTGCCTTGTACCAAAATCACTGTTACATCCTCTGATCCAAGCAAGTAAAAGAACAGGATAAAAATGCAGTGCAGGAATGGGTGAAGGTATGATACTTTTTAGCACATTCAACCCAGAACTCTAAAGATTTGCAAGTGATTACCAAGAATGGGTAACAACTGATTTGGGTTCATGCATGCACCACAGGACAGAGCCTTGGCCGATACCGTGCTGCTGTCCCTGTGTGTCGCTGCACTGGTGGACTGGCACAGAACACGATCCAGTTGGGATGTATGTTTGCAACCAGGCAGCATGTTAACCCGGTTTGGTTGGTGGTATCCTCCTCTTGGTGCAGGAAGAAACCACAGACTGCATCAGCTGCAGACAAGTCTTTGGTGCACACCTCTCCTGTGCTTTCATCTTCCCTAACACATCCTGGCACTCTTCACCAGGCTTTTCTGTGAAAGCGCTAATATTGATGATGGTGGTGTGAGTGGCCAAATGGGAAACTGCCATGTAAAAAAGATCTGGTGAAAGCACATTTGTGGGTATTGACTTTTTGAGCTTTGTCACAGACTCGTTACAAAACATTTAATGTAACTGTAGTGCAAATCAGGCCTAAAACTGATGGCACAGCATGAGTTTACACATTATCCTACTAGAAAAACAAGTAAATAACTGCTGTTTTGAACAGCAGGCATGATGAGAAGTAACCTTGGAAACAGAGGGGAAATGATTGTCTTTTAAATCTCATTTCAGAGTTGGATATTTTTTCACTATTTTTGTCCACAATTTATGTAAATGGAAACTCCAAACACCAAAATATTCACTGTCTTCCACATCCCTTCTTTCTCTCCAGTCAATAGAAAAAAAAAAAAAAGAAGAAGAAGATAAAGTTTGGAACATTTCCTATGAGTAACTTCAAGTGAAAAATCATCTTTTGTGCAAATGTTACAGACATAGCAGCCTGGGGCTAAACTGGTGCTGCCTTCATGCTTATATGGCTGTTACTGCTTGCAGAACTCACTAGGCTTTTGTGGTTCTACCTGAAGATACCATTTACAGGGAAACAGCACTTGAGTGTTTTACATACAGTAGGACTCTCCCAAACCACCTCAGAAATTCTCCAGTGCATACCTTCTTCTCATTCTGAAAAATTCTGTTGCTCACAGTTTTTTTTGTTTCGCAAACCAGCTTAAATATTTACAGGATGGTTGAGCACCAGTATCAACACATGTGACACATTCTAATTTAAAAGCTGTCAAAAATAGTGCAATTATTTCATTAATGTCAGCCTGAAATCACAAGTGGCTCCTAAACTAGAAATTAACACTTCCCTCTGCCCCCAAACCTTGTGAAGTATGAACTATTTCTCTCCATTTAAACAAGAAAAGTATTGAGAAAGAGATGCTTAGTGATCTGATCCATCTAACGTATAGCTGAGGGGAGCAAAGGGGAAGGAAACCCCCCCCCCTCAATACTATGCTTAGTACATAATCCGAACCGACTTCCACCTCTGGGATCACAGAAACAAAATTACTTTTCATACTACCCTCCTGCCCCTTTTTACTCTTCTTCCTAGTCTGTGACTACCTCACTTCTGCTGCTACCACCTAGCTCAGGCAGCTGTGTAAGGGCTAGCATAATTTTAAGTATGCAAACAGGCCTAACTGAACCAGTGGCAAAATTTAAATGTTTAAGTTCAGCAAGTGCATAATGGCTGGATGGATGGCAGAGTGAGGAATCTGTATCAACATCTTCAAAATGATTTTTAAACATGCAGCATTTCAGAGGAAGGTGAAGTCTCCTTACCCATCTTCTGGCATAGAGGGTTGCAAAGTCCTGCACTCTTTGGGTGTAAAGACAATGTCCAAGTCATCTTCGGGAAAGTCACCAATTTCTTGAGCTAGTTCTGAGTCCAAGTTGTTCAGCTGTGTCATTAGGAAGCTTTCAAAATCTACTGGGTCTACTACGTCATAAAAGGAAGGCTAATGGAAGAAATAGAGACATTTATTTTAGCAACAGAATGGTGGGTTTTTTTTTTCTTAATAGTGTAATTTAGTCTTATTATTTAATTATTCAATTCTTAATTAAAGAATTCCCATTGTTTATTAAACATCAGAAACAGTCTTCTAATCTCATTTAATGCAAGAAGTTGCTAATGAAATGTTCAGCTGAAATAAAAAAAGAACGAGAAAGAGAACAAAGAAAGAATAGTTTTAAAACAAAAAGAAATGGAAGGTATTACATCTAAATCTAAAATTGCACCTATTTTCTCCCTTGAGCTTTCCTAGATACTGGTAGAAAGGGGGCAGACTGAGGTGTCCAGAGATGTATTCTGCTAGAACCCTGTGAAGTCAGCCCCCCTTGTCCAATCCACGGAATTAATCAAGGTTATATGGAGCGTAATTCCAGCAGCAGTGAGTAGGAATAGCAGAGGATGGGGCAAGTGACTAAAATGATAGTGACACCACCAGCTGTCAGGAAGCTGCCAATGGATTCTCCAGCACATGTGATGGAAGGCACTACCAGTAGCAAGATCAAGACAGCAGGTCTTGGATGTTACACTGAGCTAAAGACCAACTATGAGCACCATAACTGCCATCGTAAAGATGCCACTCATTTGATGTGCTGTGCCTGAAAGATTCTGGCTACTAGAAACACTGTGCTTTCAACTTCAAACAAATTTGAGGGCAAGAATCAGCAGTATCAGCAGAAGTTATTATTTTCTATCTCTGCAAGTTAGTGTTTTGTACATTACTAGAGTTTTAATTTTATTGGATTTTTCAAGGGTTAGTATGATAACTACACAAAAGATTATATGGATCTGCTAAAGCTCTTATTGAGAAACCTTAGGTATCCACTATTTCTACAGAACGTTGCATTGCACCTTGACAGAGAACAGTTGTATCTGACTACATTTAATCAGCTGTTCTTACACAGGACTTCTGACCAGAACAAAGTTAAACAAATACCAGCTCTGCTATTCATACACACTATGAAGCTGTCTGGCTCTTTCGATCTGCTTAGTGTCAAAAGCAGAAGCAGAAAATCTTCTTTGATACCATACCTAGAAGTGTTCCATATACACATAAATGTGACTTCATATGTTAAAAGCATATGTTATTATTTGTATAGATAAAATTAAAATTACTTTACTTTTTATATAGCCAACAAAACATAGGGTGTATATGTTTAGAAAGTAAAACATCTGTTCAGTTGAGTACAAAGACCAGCATAACATAACATTAATTTTCTTGACAAGTAACAAAGAGATCTAAAATTACAGCTTTAGAAAACCTATAGTCTGTTATGTTCTGTGAGCTGCAGAAAGGCCAAGAACACCTCAGTGTAGTAAGAACACTGAAAAAATAGAGCATTAGAATAATAGCACTGGAATAACTTTTTTACTATGAAGAAGAATTCTAGCAAAAAATAGCTATAAAATTAGTCTTGTCCATAAAAACAAAGGGTTGCATTATCCAAATACCTTTCTCAAGACTGTCAGCAACAAATAGATTGTATATAGTTTCAGTAATCTACCTCTATGGTGCTGTTGATGTGGTGTGGGGAAAATAAAGCACCCAATGTTCCTGGTATCAACTACCTTTATATTCAATGTTACTGTGGCTCCTGTCTCATCCAACATGCATTCTGGAGCTCCCCTCCTTAAACTCCAGTGTTCTTCACCAAAAATAAAACCGATGAAATCACTTCCTGAGTCCTGTATCTGCAAGGCAACTCATGGAGGATTTTCACCTGAGCATGAAGTGACCTCTGCACATGACAGTGTTACACTCACAGCATTATAAATTTTAGCTCAACAGGACAATGAGGGATTCCACAGTTTATGAAACATGCAAAGGTGCTCACCAATGGCAAAGCTATAACTATAATGGCTTATACATATTATGCCACGTGGTCACTGGAGATTCGAAAATGAGTTAAAGCTGATCAGTGGTAAATTAAAAGTTTTGGAGCCTTTTTAGTGTTTTTCAGCTATACATGAGAAAGTAATTCAGCTGCAGAAACAGCTAGCAGAAAGCAAAGTATATTTAGAAGAAATGTTCTAAAAACATCTAGGAAAAGCAAACCAATTTAAACTTCTGAAAAAAAAAAAAAAAAAAAGGATGCAAACACTCCTGCAAATAATGCAGTAAGAGACCTTTGAACACAACTAACCCCCACCCCCCACCCCAGGTTCCCCTTTTATAGGGAAACTGTATTGGTCTCTGCATAAATAAAGCTGCAAGCTCACCCCTCTGCTTGTATATTTAAGGGAGCAATAGAATTCTCTAAAAGCACATTAGGAAAAAAAATTTCTCTCTTTTTTTGCTCTTTGTATCCACATGGAAAACTTAAAACTGACAGTCTGGCAAATTATGAGGCATCCAGCTGAAGATATATACTGTGCTGTTAATAAATTTTTAGGTTAAGCACTATTTCAGGTTTGTACCTAGTGTAGTGCTATCCTGGCTTCAGCTATAACAGCCATTTTTATTCCTTCCTAGCAGCTGGTGCAGTGCTGTGTTTTGGCTTTAGTCTGAAAATAATGTTGATAACACATCAATGTTTTCAGTGTTGCCAGCATACTACATCAACAATTTTGAGTAAATAATGATCTTTATTAGCTACTGATTTTTACTGTCAACATAATATAATAAGATTAAAGTAAACCAGCTTAAAGTATACAAAAGCGTATTACATTTCACTTGCTGAAGGTGTAATGACTTACATGCATAATATTTTTACTTAATACAATCTAATGTTTGATTAAGCGTTGCTCTTCATTTCAGAAACAGCACTTCTCCATTCTGACAAGTCGCATTTCATTATGTCTTCTAACTTTTTCTAGTTGAAATTTTAATAATAATCTTTAATCACTATAAACGTGTGCTTTTGACGATCATAAATTAGGCACAAATGTAAAAAAGATGGTGAAAAAGGTAAATGTAGATGGAGGGTAATTGTCTCCCTAGTGCAAATTATCAAAGGAAACAGACATACTGTTTCAAGCGAGAAGCAAACACTCCTTTTCACACATCATACAAGTGTGCAAAACAATTATTCTATAGAAAATGCCAAAAATCATTACTGCAAACATACCTTTTTAATGATGATGGATTAGAGGCATGTAGATTGTGACAGCACACAAAATGGCAGCTATGGCGTAGTACTTGGTAAATGAAATGTTATCAAGTTTCTCAAGAGCAAAAGCAGTTATCTGCATGTAGAAGAAGGGACCTAGCCTGCCCAGGCTGAATAACCGAAAGGAACAAGTTAAAACCACATCATTTCAGATTAAGGAAGTGAGTAGTGGCAGGAGGCCCTGACACACAGGAAGTAACTGCTTACAGCTAGTGGCTTACATTTTTTACAATCATTGGTGCACAAAGACTTTTCCTGCTTCTACTTACTGGGTCTTAAAAATTTAAAGAAAAATTAAAAGGGCAGGAAGGAGACTATCAAAATCTTAGTTTTATTTATGGCATAGTATGTTTGAAGAATACACACCCTCCTGAAAGACTATTAAAAAGATATAGCATTTTTTTCCCTTTGTCATAAGAGCAGCATTATATGGTCTGACTTCTTTACAGTGGGATTACACATGGAAGGCTGATGATTTGGAGACACGTAAGAGTTGACTCAATTATACCCATGCCAATCAGGGCATATTTTGGCATTATTCACTTAACATGCTTACTCTACAGCACTGAAAAACACGGTATGTGCTGACTTTACTGCTAGCTCTGGAAACTGAATTAAGCCATGGTAGCTTAGCCTCTACTTTCCTTTTTTTCTCTTTATTCATTGATCTCCTTTTGCAAATTATCTGTGAACACCACACAATGCATTTACTTAACAGAGTTGAATGTTTCCATCAAGGGAAGGATGCAGTATACTCCAAAACTTACTAATTAACTTTGATTTATAGTAGTATGAAGAAAGCCTGTCTATTTTAGGCTTCAAGGACTATTCCAGGCTTTTTCAAATACGTAATTTCCTCATCTTACCAGGGACTATTTTTCAACAGCTTCAAGCAGAAGTTAGTAGAAAGCAAGATAGTTTAAGAAGATCACTTAATTTACCCTAGAAACATTAGCAGTGTAGAAGTTAAACCTGTGTAAAGCAGATAAACCCGGAACTTACCAAATGAAGAGTAGAAAAGCCAGGGGTACTTAAGCTTCGTTGACAGAACTGTGCAAAGCCTGGTTGGAGAGTAAATTGCTTTCTTATTTCTGCAGAGGAGTGCCTTTAATTAAGCAGAGAAAAACCTTTATAATTATAATTATCTCCATTCAAATTCCAAGTGCCAGACTTTGCCGATTTGTCCCGTGTTTAGAAATGTCCCAGGGTTTAGAAATGTACTTGGATGATGTTCTAGACTCCTCTTGTTTTGTACCTGATGCAAACCTCAAAAAACATTCAAAGTCCTATATAATTAAGATTATGACACTCTTTCAACAGATTTTTATCATTATATTGCAGTCCTGGCATCTGGGAAAGGCTGTGCAAGAAAGAAATACCTTGCCCTTAAGTGAAGTCTGACTGCAACAGGTACAGCATTACTTGTAGATTCTCTATTGCAAAGCAAAGATACAGAAGAAAAATACACAGAAAGAAAAATTAATAACCCAGAGGCAAGTATTTTAATGAGCTAGCAATTGATCAAGGGATAAAACCAAGACAGGACACTGAAATGTGAAAGCCCAGTCTTAGGTTAATGCAGTCGGCTGTGAAAAGCACAAGATAAACCGGAGTATAAATTTAAAAACCAGCTTATACTGTATCAGTTGAACATTTGAGGACAAGTCTTCTCAAATGATAACTAATTTGTTTCCATGGGAATGGAAAGAGGCCAGTACTGACTTCTTCAAAAATCCCACATTGATAATACAGTTGTGTATACTTGATCACAGTAGCTTGGTCATTTTTCATGTAAACAAATCGATTATTATTTAACACAATTTAAGAATAATTGGCTGTGAAATGGAAAACAAAAGGTCTACAATATATTTTAAAAATACATGTTTTTAAATAAAAAATATAAAATATATACAAGATTGTTTTAAAAAAACCAAGAGGCATTTAAGCAGATTCCAAGGGGAAAAAAAAAAAAACCAAACCCAAACCTGTAGCCCACCAGGGCAGCCAACTTGAAGACAGGAAAATACAGAGGGAAGAAGTCTTTCTCTTCCATATGAGACTCACTTCCAACTCAACCAAGCATTAACAGACATCTTAGAATTACCAAATTTCACAGAACAGGTTGCTTGGTTGGTCTTAACCTTTTCTCCTCCGTGGCCTCTTGATTTCTACAACTACTATATCTATTCTGTGACAATCTTACTACTGCTTTTCTTATCAAGCATGGCAAAAACCTGAACTCTGATCAATGCTGTTCTGTTCACGTTAACAGAGAGGCATCTATTATTTCCCTATTATAAAAAGAAAAGCTGCTTGTATATCAAGGTTATTGCTACTCAACTCCCCACTGCAAATAATCTCTGATCATGTATACATGTGGCAAGGTGTAATACAAAATTCTTATTTAAAATTATTAATTTCCTTCAAACTGAAAGGTTTCTATCCTGTGCAGATGTGTCTGCTACTGACATAAATAATAGATGTATCAGCAGATGCTGGCTTAATGCATGTTGAAAACTGTATTATACTGTATTGCAGAAGTTGCTGCTGTAAACAGTGATATAAGGCATCTCTTATTTACACCAGACATGGGGTCATCACATTCTTCAGAGAGGAAGTGGTAAGAATTTTCATCTGCAAAAGAGGAAGCATGCATGTAGATGAAGGGCAAATTTGCTGTCTGGTAAAAGCCTTTGCAAGCCCAGCTAAATTAGAGGAAATTTGTTTCTCAAAAGCATTGCACTAGTTACAGAGTCTCCCCAGTATTCAAAGAAAGAACCTGCAAATTAAATTGGTCCAATGGTAATGGGCAGGATCTACTAGGAATAGGTAAAAGAAACACACAGATGCTAAAAAATGCTAAACTAAAAGCCTTCAGAAAAGGTGAGTGTTATGGTTGGAGATGAGTGGTCCACATTAACCTAGCACATGTGGAGCTAGGTTCTGTGCCATCTTTTATTCCAGCTTCTATGATGGCTGCAGTCCACCTATAGCATGGATGTAATTTTACCCTTTCTGCCAGTACAGCAGCCTTGTCTGATTCCGAGAAAAGCTTTACAGTCACCCTTAGCAGCAAGGACGCTCTTGTTGTGTGCCAAAACACAACAAGGAAAGAAGGCAAGTGATGAAGCGTGAACACAAAGCAGGCACTGAAAAATGTAAGCAAAAAAGGGTAACTGTGTCTCCAGAAAGGGGGACTCACATGGTCATTACCAGTCATCTGGTCTCTAACACCCAGAAAGGTAGTAGGGCAATTTACTGAACAATCAACTTACAAGTAGCTAGAGTATCAGGTCCCAAACTGTGGTCTCCAGCTGAAGCAATGGGACCAAAGAGACTGTGAAATCATATCACTTAACATCAAACTGTATATCACCTTAGTAATGACTGTTTATTGATAGTCTCATGATAAAGTGTATGGTGAGCAGCTACAAACTGGTCTGTAGTCAGCTACTATCCAAAAGGTTTGTCAATTATTTGTTTATTATTGGCAATTATTAGGATGAACATCCAGTATGGATTTGTCAATGGACAGTCACATAAAATCAAGCTAAAACTCTTCTGCGATAATTTAACTGGATTGAGTAAGGCCCTTCATAGTGTCCCTCACGACATTCGTATAAGCAAAGTAAAGAGATAGTGGCTAGATGGAATCATCACAGATGCTTTCAGAACTGGTCAAAAAACATATTAAAGGCACAATAATCAATAGATCAACAGAAGATTGTGAAATGATTTCAAACATTGAGAAGCAAGTTAATTTTTACTCAGTCTAGTTCCAGTCCATATTTTATTTTACAACAGTGATGATGGTATAGATAACACAGTAATAAAATTTGTGGATCAAATCTACAGTTGGAAGGAGTTGTGAGGGTACTGAAAGGCAGGACTAGCACTCAAAATGATCTTGCATTTTAGAAACATCCTGAAATCAGCACATTTACTTTCAATAAAAATAAATGTAAACCCCTACATTTAGGAAAAAAAATAAATAATCAAACGTAGAAATACAAATAGGGAAATACACAGTCTATAGAAATACTCATGCCACAGAAGAGTCTGAGAGAGTATATTGGGACACTTAACAACAAAGTACCATAAGTGAGGAAAAAGAGAAGTTATTTCTGTTTATCTAAGCCAATGAGACAGTGCTAAGAGTACCACATAGTAAATCAAATTTACATTTTCAAAAGACAACAGTTAGCATGCTAAAAATCTGGAAAGGAAGACCTGTGAGGAAAGACTGAAAAACACAGATGTGTTACAGAAGAGATTACTGCATTGTCATCAACTGTATAAAAGGTAGCAAGCTGTAATGAAAACAGTGAGCAGTTCATGTCTATAAGGGGAAGAAGAAATAATCTGCTTAAAGAGAAGCAAGAAAGATGTAATAAGCTATTAAGAAAAACGTTCCCTCTGCAACCAAAGCAAAACACTGGAAGTGGCCATTTAGTGGTGCCATAGTGACAATAGCACACTAGTGTCATAAATTACATCTCCGAACTACCTAGAGAACAGCATCAGGGCAATTCCAAGCTTTTCAGAGACCCACAAGGAACTCAGCATTGTTAATAGTTCTACAGACCTCCCATGTTTGCAATTTTTCTTTTTTTTAGGAAAAACAGGGAACACTAGCTGAAAAGGAAAAGGTGAAGTTTGGGGGAGTTTTTGCCCACAAAAGTCACTGCTGTATTTGCTGAATTCACAGTAAGCCAATGTTTACATGGCATGTGGCAAGATAGTGTAAATCTGAGGAAAGATGGGAAATGACGGCAGCCCAAAGCTTTTTTGAACTGTTTAGATCCTTGCCTGCTCCATCGTGTTGGAGCAAAATAACATCAATTGAAATTCACTGTTCCACTCTGTGTTTCCTTGGACCTACATGAATGCCAATGCCATACTCCTCCAGTATGAATCTCAAAAAAGTCATAACTTACCAGACTTACTGATCCACCCAGATGGGACTGGAGGGTAGCCAAAAAAATCAAAACTCAAACAAACCCCCCCGGTGCTGCTTAATTCTATTGCACCAATATCTGCCCCACTGGTAGATGCAATCCTCCAGCAATCCTCTTGAATTGCTATCAAAAAGTTGACACATAGTCTGTATTTCACAAACTCTCCACGGCAAAATGTACTGTTTGCATAATGTATTAAAACAGTGTAACTAAAGTAACAGACAGCACCTGCAGGCTCTTAAAATAAATTTAACTTGGTCAAATTCTGAGTTGTTTCTCAGGGCACAGCTCATTGCAGTATAGGGGACCTGGAGATTTGGGTTATTGGTTGGGCCTAGATGAGGTATCAGGAAGGGAAGGTAAAATAGCCATTTTACTAACGTAAGTAAATTATGTCAGTAAAATAAGTTAATATAAATTAGATCTGTGCAGAACACTGCTGGGTTCTATAATTAAAATTATAGAAATGCTCATAAGGCATAAAGCTCTGTAGTTTCACTCTAAATTCTGCTCACCAATATAGTTATTTGAAATACACAGTTTAAAAGCAGGCACAATGGGTATTTTGCTAGTATGTAGGTAATATGAAAACTTAAACACAGAACAGCAATATAGAAATATAAGAAAACAGAGAAAGATCAGCTTTAAAGGCAGAAACTTCGTAAGAAAAAATCTGGTTTTGTAAGCATACTTCACATACCTAGTAAATCAAGTTATCCAAAGTTACCTACTACCACAAGTTACCTACTAGGGGGATGCAGGAAGAGTAATCCTCAACACCCTTGCAATCCCTTCCAGCAGACTCTGAGGAACAGTGAATTTTCCTCTGCAAGAGCTGCATACACAATTAGACAGCAATGAAAGACTGAAAAAATTGAAATAAACAGAGACTGCAAGAACTATCGCCGAAGATAGAGAAACAGTCACATTTAAATGTATACAGATGGCAGAATCATAAAGCAAAATAGTGAAAACTTTTGCTGAACAGGTAAAATATTCCATTTTGGCTACCCTGAGGAGTAATCCCTTTCATCTCACACTGATGTAGAAAAGTCTCAACTAGCTTTTCTTCTTTTTCTTCTTCACCTAATATGAAACTTCTCTAGTCATAACTTAAGCAACAAAGAAATCTGGAAGACAAAAACCT